CCTCTCTGTATCTTTTTTCTGCATGCCAATCTGCTTCTTCCCTTTCATTATCCAACTTCTCTTTTAAAGCTGCAGCTTTTGCCTTTAATGAAGCACGCTCCATTTCAACCTTTATCCTAATTGAGGAAGACGATGACGATGTGCTTCCACACGATGATCCAGGTCTACTTCAACGCTTAATGATTGATTTTGATGATGTAGACCTACTATCTGTGTGCTTTATCTGTCTGTCACACTCTTCAGCTTGCTCAGAGCGATTCAGAACCTCTTTCATCCGTTCCTCACATTTCCAGAAGAAATCGATCGTAGTTTTATATTTAGGATCAAACCAATTAGTTTGATTATCCAAAAATTCGTCCACGGCCATAAATCGTTGCAAACCAGAATTTAGATCAGAAAATTCCTTTTGCAAAGCACTGAGGTCCACACGCACTTTGTTCTTAACAATGTCGACATTTGCATCATCCTCCATTGATTGTTCAGTTTGCTTTACCATGCTGTATTAGCTGCGATAGCTTGTACCTGCATGCCTGGATTTGTTTACAAATTGTACACTGGATCTTTAAAATAGTGGTTTTTAACTTGGGGTAACCATGAGGTCCTTGATGGAATTCCATGGGATCTCCAGAAAAATGGGAAATATTTACTATTATTCTATAATTTGACTGTTATTTTATCGGCTAAAAGTTGTCCCAGTGACAGAATGTATAAGTCTGTTCATAGTTTTCATTCTTCACTGTTAATCTGACCTGATCTTCAGTATAGGCTACAGAATGGAATGGAATAACTAAATATTATCAGACAGGGATCCCTGAGGCTACATCTTATCAAATATGGGTTCCTGGGCTGATGTGTATCAATCTGGGGGTCCTTGACAGCCTAAAGGTAGAGAGCTACTGGTTTAAAGGATAAAGCTGGTGCAATTCTGTATTTTTCTTTTTGTCAACAAATCTGCTGAACATACCAAAAGCGGCTGTGGCTCTGAGGCAGAGCGAGCGTTCCTTAATCGGAAGGTTGTGGATTCGATCCCTGGCTCCTGGTCCCACATGTCAAAGTATCCTTGAGCAAGATACGGAACCCCCAAATTGCTCCAGATGCCATGCATCGGTGTGTGAATGTGTATGAATGTTAGTTTCTGTTCGATGGACTTTGCCATCACTGAGTGAATGTGTGTGAAAGGGTGAATGTCTCACGTAGTGTAAAAGTGCTTTGAGTGGTCAGAAGACTAGAAAGGCACTATACAAGTACAGGTCCATTTACCATTTACCAATAATGTGTTAACGGCAGGACATGCATGAAATACACTAGGTGATTTGTTGTTTGACTAGGTCAAAAGGCAAGTGTTGTATCAGTTATGAATGTTCACACTGAAACACAAAGTGAAAAGCTGGTCATAGTCATATTATGTTTTGTGTAGATTTAAAAAAAAAAAAAAAAAGTATATGACCTTGTTTACCATATCAATATATATTAAAATGTATCTTGTCAGTGGTTCACAGCCCCTGCATCGATGTTGCGTGGTACCTGACCTTATGTGTGCCTATAGCTGGATCACCACTGAGTCTTGCACTAGGGCAGCTATAGGTGGGCTGATGTTTATAACATCTCCATATTCCAGCTCAATGTTGAGCAGGAGCCACTGAAATTGGTAGTGGTACAGGGCTTTGGAACGAATGAAGTGAAAAAGCTTTGCCACTGGTTTTATAACATGATCAAATTTAAGACATTTGGCGCACAGAACTTGTTTGTGGATTATACCATGGAGTTGAAATATGTTGCCACCCTGTTAGCTGACTTTGTTACACATCAGTGTGGATAATTCTCTTTTTCACCAGTCAGCATTTTACTCTGCAGCCGTTTGATTTCATCAACAACTGAACAGACAGAGTCAAAAAAATCCTTTGCTCTTGTCTGGCCTTGCCACGTTCGGCGATTAACATAGCCACTTCATAGCTTGCTTTTGTTTTTTTGTTTTGAATCGCAAGTCCTCGTAAAAGAGCTGCTGCTGGGAGGCCAAGACAGGTTAGAGCTGTTTCACTCACACGATCGCGCCCGGTTAACTTGTCATATGTATAAGCATGGTTTGTCTGATAGTGTCTCTTTACTTTAAATTCCTTAGAAATGGCAACACTCTGTAACACAACTGTTTGGGTTTTCAGTGAAGAAATATTGTAATGTCCATCGCTCTTGGAAGCAGCAGCCCTCGTTATCAACCTTTCTTTTTTTAGCTGCAGTAGCCATGACAAAACTATTAAGCTACTAACTAAAAAACAGCTACTAACCCAGTAGCGGGAGGGGTCAACTGCATTAACCAGACAGACCAGACAGATTAGATAGACTTTGGGCATGCCTGCCCTATACCATAGTCTACACCATACCCTGATGTGCACCTCTCAAGTACACATGTAAATACACATTGGGATGACACAGACCAACAACTGTGATTGGTTGTTTAGTGTGTGTGTGCATTTTCTGCGAATGGGACGTGACTCATGGAAAACCCAGATGAGTTAATAATACTGCTTGAGAATCCCTCTTCAAAAATACACAGGGACAGACGGTCTGTCCCCTCGAATTCCCCTGTCCTTTCAAAAAAAAACATGAGGGAAACAGGAGAGAGACGAGGGAGAGTTTCAATTTCAGTCAAAACTCAAGACAGTGGAATAGAAACCCCAGCACCAACTAGCAACTAGCCTTTTGGCACAGCTATTTGCAGAGCAACGCAGACACACCAGCAAGTATAAATGCTCATCACGACGTAGGTCAATCCTTAGTGTCTGCTAAGTGTGTGTAGGCTATGGCATAGGCTCAGTGAGAAACTTTGCTCCTTCAGCAGATGAAAAACATCCTTCCAGTGTCAAACTCTCCACACACATTATTCTGCGCAGTGATGCTCAAACATCCAAATGTAGCAACACACCTTTGACTGGTGGAATACCTAAAATGTTTTCAAATTGGCAAGATAATCTTAAAATTTATAGAAAGGCCCTCCGTAATGCCAGAGGCAATGGCCTTCTGACTGCTTCTGACAATGGACTTGTCTCTGTACTTGTATTATTAGATCTTAGTGCTGCATTTGACACCATTGACCATAATATTCTTTTAGAGAGACTTGAGCATCAAATTGGCATTAAAGGAACCGCACTAAGCTGGTTTAAGTCATATTTATCAGATTGCTTGCAGTTTGTACATGTTAACGATGAATCTTCAATAAATACTACAGTTAGTCATGGAGTTCCACAAGGTTCTGTACTTGGACCAATACTATTTACTTTATATATGCTCCCTTTAGGCAACATTATTAGGAATCACTCCATTAACTTTCACTGTTATGCAGATGATACGCAGTTATATCTATCAATCAAACCCAATGAAATTAATCAATTATCTAAATTACAAACATGTCTTACGGACATAAAATCCTGGATGACCTGCAATTTTCTGATGTTAAACTCAGAAAAAAACGAAATTCTTGTTCTTGGCCCCAAAAACCTTAGAGACTCACTGTCTAAAGATATAGTTACTCTAGATGGCATTAACTTGGCCTCTAGCACCACTGTCAGGAATCTTGGAGTTATCTTTGATCAGGATTTGTCATTTAACTCCCACATAAAGCAGACCTCTAGGACCGCCTTCTTTCATTTACGTAATATTAGAAAAATTAGACACATCCTATCACAGACAGATGCAGAAAAACTAATCCATGCATTTGTTACTTCAAGGCTGGATTACTGCAACTCTTTATTATCAGGTTGCCCCAATAAGTCCATTAAAACGCTCCAATTAATTCAGAACGCTGCAGCACGAGTACTGACAGGTACTCGTGGTTCCTATAGTCTCTAAAAGTAGAACAGGAGCCAGAGCCTTCAGTTACCAAGCTCCTCTCTTGTGGAACCAGCTTCCAGTTGTGGTTCGGGAGGCAGACACCCTCACCACATTCAAGAGTAGGCTTAAGACATTCCTCTTTGATAAAGTTTATAGTTAGGGCTGGATCAGGTGAGTCCTGAACCATCCCTTAGTTATGCTGCTATAGGCCTAGACTATCGGGGGATTTCCCATGGTGCACTGAGCTACTCTCTTCCTCTCTCTTTCTGCACTCATTCATGTCCCTTTAATGCATGTTACTAACTTCACTTCTTCCCCGGAGTTCTTGTGCTTTCTCGTCTCGCACCTGTCTGTCTGTCTGTCTGTCTGTCTCTCTCTCTCTCTCTCTCTCTCTCTCTCTCTCTCTCTCTCTCTCTCTCTCTCTCTCTCTCTCTCTCTCTCACCCCAACTGGTCGAGACAGACGACCACCCACCTAGAGCTGGAGGATCTGTCCTAGGTTTCTGCCTTTTAACAGGCAGTTTTTCCTTGCCCTTGTCGCCAAGTGCTTGCTCATGGTGGTACTGTTGGGTCTCTGTAATTAATGTTAAAGAGTTCGGTCTAGACCTGCTCTATTTGAAAAGTGTCCTGAGATAACTTCTGTTATGAATTGGCGCTATACAAATAAAATTGAATTGAATTGAATTGAATTTCCTCAAAGGAGCAATACAGGATGGGAGGATTTAAGTAGTTCATGCATCTTGATATTGAACATGAAGTTACTGCATTTGTGTCTGAATCATTACACTGTCATTTGTTAATACCCTGAAATACTGTGCTGTTGACAATCCTTCTGCTGCCGTGGCTTAAGAACTAGTTTGTTTTAATGAGTGATCGGCTGGAAGCTTAAGTTCTATGAGCCGTTGAGTTTGCCATTGTTTTCTCAACATTAAATCAGCAAGAAAGCTAATAACTCTGATGTATTGTCAGTGAATTGGGATTTCTTTTCAATTAGTTGGTCATTGTGTTACTGAAAATAGTTGCATTTTGTGTGATAATCTTTGAATTAAGCTTGTTAATTTGTCTTTAAAATATTGCCTGAATTTGAAAGCCACAAAAAGCTCAGAGTGCATTATTTCAGTGAAGGTTTGTGTGTGTAATGTATGTTTTGCATATATGTATATGTTTGTGAGCACAGTATGAACCGTCTGAGCAGCTTGCCCAGAGGATTTGGTTCATTGCCAGCTCTGGAAGTGTTGGACCTCACCTACAACAACCTGAACCAGAACTCCCTGCCAGGAAACTTCTTCTACCTCAGTAAGTGTGTACGAATACATACACACACACACACACACACACACACTAACTGCTCTGAAATTGTGTTAATGAGAGGGAAAAGTTTATCTTTCATTATGTCCTTAACAAATGAATGTATTGATCTAACTCAGCTGATCATGATCTGGTGGTAACAGAGGTTAAGGAGTCAGGATGCTGGAAGCATGAGGAAAAGTCAGGCCTCTGACTACATTAGCTATGTACAGTGTTATATGGATTTCACATTAAGAGCTAAATAGAACTCTACAGAAGAAACAGTTATGAGACAACATCGTCTACTCCTCTATGAAAAATACTTTTTCTCACAGACAGGAGGCTGATGCTCTCTTTTTTTTCCACTGCATGTTGACAAAGCTGTCTTGTTGTGTCTGTTCTCTTGTCAGCCTGTGTACATTGATTCTGGCCAGTTTGTGAGGCAGTGTTATTAATCAGGCCTTTGACACACATACACACATGCAGACTAACAGAGGTTCTTGTTTTGCAGCCACTCTTCGTGCTCTCTATCTGAGTGACAACGACTTCGAGGTCCTGCCTGCTGACATTGGGAAGCTGACCAAGCTGCAAATAGTAAGTTAATGTCAACGCCTTAAACGTCCATTGATTAAGGAAGATCTGTTGGCACAAATATAATATAATATGTGTAACTATGTTTTCATTAGTGTATAATCACGTGAATACAGGAATTATGTTTTTGTTATCTTAGAATGAGACATTTATATCTACAGATCATCAATTAATGTCTTCAGGACAGGATGGCTACAGGCTGTCACCACCTTAATGATAATAGATTTGGAGTTAGATTATTTAGATCACAGATGTTAACTTCCTTTTGTGGAGTAATATTTGATTCAGCTTAACTCTGATTTTGAGGTGCTGTGAAGAACACTTTGGATCTGTGTGTGCGATCAGCCATAACATTATGACCAGTGACAGGTGATGTGAAGAACACTGATAGTCTGGTTTTCATGTCAGTATACCTGTCAGTGGGTGGGATATATTAGAAAGCAAATGAACATTTTGTCCTCAAAGTTGATGTGTTAGAAGCAGGAAAAATGGGCAGCATAAGGATTTGAGCGACTTTGACAAGGGCCAAATTGTGATGGCTAGATGACTGGGTCAGAGCATCTCCAAAACTGTATCTCTTGTGGGGTGTTCCCAGTCTGTGGTATGTGGTAATTACCTTTCAAAAGTGGTCCAAGGGGGCGCCCGGTTAGCTCAGTCGGTAGAGCTGGCAAACCATATGCAGCGGCCGGGGTTCGAATCCGACCTGCGGCCCTTTGCTGCATGTCATCCCCTGTCTCTCTGCCCCCCCTTCCTGTCTATCTCTCTCTGTCAAATAAAGGCATATAATACTTTAAATAAAAATAAAAATAAAATAAAAAGTGGTCCAAGGAAGTAAAAGCGGTGGGCCTGAGACAGGGTCATGGGTGGCCAAGGCTCATTGATGCACGTGGGAAGGCTGGCCCATGTGGTAAGATCCAACAGATGGGCTACTGTAGTTCAAATTGCTGAAAAAGTTAATGGTGGTTCTGAAAGAACACACAGTGCATCGCAGTTTGTTGCGTATGGGGCTGCATAAGGTGCCCAGTTGGTCATAATGTTATGGCTGATCGGTGTAGATGCAGCAGATGAAGGGAGATTGGATTAGGTTATATCACAGTAATGAATTAAAACAGCTGGAAAGGCTTGGTGCCCTTGAACAAATAAATGTTGCTGTTATTTTATATATACATACAGCTAGGCCCAGAAATATTTGGACAGATCATGATTTGGGCTCTTCATGCCACCACATTGGATTTGAAATTAAACAACTGAGATGCAATTGAAGTGCAGACCTTCAGGTTTAATTCAAGGGGTTGAACAAAAATATCCTATCAAACATTTAGAAATTGCAAACATTTTTAAAAAAAGTCACCTCATTTCAAGGGCTCAAAAATAGAGCCTCCTTTTGTGATGCTGTGCCAGGCCTTTATTGCAGCTGTCTTCAGTTGTTGCTTGTTTGTGGGTATTTCTGCTTTAAGTTGTGTCTTAAGCAAATGCATGCTCAATCGGGTTGAGATCTGGTGATTGACTCAGAATATTCCACCTATTTGCCTTAAAAAACTCCTGGGTTGCTTTTGCAGTATGTTTTGGGTCATTGTCCATCTGTACTGTGAAGCACCGTCCAATCAACTTTGCTGCATTTCGCTGAATCTGAGCAGAAAGAATATCCCTATACACTTCAGAATTCATCTGGCTGCTACTGTCTCCTGTCACATCATCAATAAACACTAGTGACCCAGTGCCGTTGGAAGCCATGCATGCCCATGTCATCACACTGCCTCCACCATGTTTTACAGAAGGTAAGGTGCTTTGGATCATGAGCCGTTCCAAGCCTTCTCCATACTTTCTTCTTCCCATCATTCTGGTACAGGTTGATCTTAGTTTCATCTGTCCAAAGAACGCTGTTCCAGAACTGGGCTGGCACCTTGTGGTGAACCCTCTGTATTTGCTCTAATGAAGTCTTCTCTTTATGGTAGACTTAGATACTGATACACCTACTTCCTGGTGAGTGTTGTTGGGTGGATGTTGTGAAGGGGTTTTTCTTCACCATAGAAAGGATCCTGCGATCATCCACCACTGTCGTTTTCCGTGGACGTCCAGGCCTTTTTGAGTTCCTGAGGTCACCAGTGCACTCTTTTTTTCTCAGGATGTACCAAACTGTTTGGCCACTCCTAACATTTCCGCTATCTCTCTGATGGATTTCTTCTTTTTTTGCAGCCTAAGGATGGTCTGTTTCACTTCCATTGAGAGCTCCTTTGACCGCATGTTGTGGGTTCACAGCAACAGCTTCCAAATGCAAATGCCACACCTGGAATCAACTCCAGACCTTTTACTTGCTTAATTTATGATGTGTTAACGAGGGACTAGCCCATGGAGCCCATGAAATAGCTTTTGAGTTAATCGTCCAATTGCCTTCGGTCCCTTGAAAAAGAGGTGGCTACATATTAAAGAGCTGTAATTCTTAAACCCTTCCTCCAATCTGGATGTGAATACCTTCAAATTAAAGCTGAGAGTCTGCACTTTAAGACCACATTGATTATATAACTGTATCTTGAATATGTTTTGGTAAACAGCTAAAATAACAGAACTTGTGTCAGTGTCCAACTATATATGGACCTAACTGTATATAATGTCAGAGCGTGTGTGTTAAAATAGTGTGTCCTGTTTTTCTTCTTTTTTTCCTCCTGTCCAGTTGAGTCTGAGGGATAATGATCTGATCTCGCTGCCTAAGGAGATAGGGGAGTTGGCTCACCTCAAAGAGCTTCACATCCAGGGCAACAGACTGACTGTCTTGCCCCCTGAACTTGGTACTGACCACACATACACTTACTGTATAAGCTAATCACACAAACTCACGTGAATCTTAAAGTTTAGTCAAAATCCAAAACACCTACCTTATATCTATTAAAACCTAGGGTCACACTCTGTGCTAGATGAAAATAATAAACTCTGTAGGTTCAAATTTCAGATGTTCAAAGATTTATTTGACACATATTTTCTGTATGTGCACATGCAAGGGTAGCATACTCCACCCTTTGTCAATCAATTCAGTTTTATTTATTTAGTTATCTCAGGACACTTTTCAAATAGAAAAGGTCTAAACCATACACCTTATGAAATTATTTATAGAGACCTAACAATTCCCACCATTAGTAAATACTTGGTGACAGTGGCAAGGAAAGATTTCCTTTTAACAGGCAGAAACCTCAAGCAGACCCTGGCTCTAGGTGGCTTTTATGTTTTTTATGTAAAGTGCCTTTGAGTATCTAGAAAAGCGCTTATAAATAAAATGTATTATTATTTTTATTATTATTATAGAGTCATCAGAAATAATTTTCAAATCATTTTCCCATTTGAAGTAAAATAGAAGATAAAGCAGAGTATGCTTCATGGCTACCTTGTGATTGAAGTCATTGAGTCTGTCCAGCATGATGCACAAAACTCAAATATGAATCAAGATTCTGTTACTGCATTGTTTAATTCTCTTCTCAAATCTTACAAACATATTTTAGTGTGCTGTTTATCTGTAATATGAGAACTTGTGTGACCAGGGCAGCTGAAGTATTACACACGTGATGAATGTGATCAGTTCTATTGTATGTTTGTGTGTCTCTTTGTCTCCAGGTAATCTGGATCTGACTGGTCCTAAACAGGTGTTCAAAGCAGAGAATAATCCCTGGGTTACTCCCATTGCAGACCAGTTTCAGCTGGGTGTCTCTCATGTTTTTGAATATGTTCGCTCAGAGACCTATAAGTAGTAAGTAATAACACTTTCTCATTAAAAAAAAATATTTTTATTAATAAATATTGGGGACTTGACTGATTTCAACTGATCAAATAATAAATTTTAAATAAACTAATATTTTATCTGTAAATCATTATTTACTGTATTTTATTTGCTGTCACAAAGAGCTAACGAAGAAATAATTGATTTTAAGCATTATTATTATATAAAAATCAAGCTAATCAAACAGTTGATTGAATAATTGGGGGTGTAATGTGTGTGATGTTTAATGTCCGATACAAAGGGTAAGGTACAAATGTGTGTGTTAGAGGACAATTTAAGTCCAAGCAGTCTTCTCTCTGATAGAGGAGAAAGTGTTGGAGGTTGCACTGTAAAGCAGAAGGCTGCTATTAATTCTTTGTTCCAGGCAGAAGGAGATGCTACAAATCCTCTGTGTGTATGCTTCAAACTGCTGCCCTGAGGCATGCTCTGGAACTGATCCCTGCACTGTGTGACTGTGTGTGAGTGAGACAAAAAGACCACGGTCTCAAACACATTCCATTCCATGTTATGTTTGCATACTTGTATGAGCATTGTGTATGTGTGTGTGTGCGTGTGTGGACATCTTTCCAGATAGTGCTGTTATTCAGACTCATAGTGGCATATACAAATATACAGCAGCTGACCCATTTTGAACTCATCGAAATGGAATAATTAGAATAATAATATATTGCAACCAATCACTAACAGGTCTTTGGATCTGAATATACATTTCAAAAATGAATGCTGGTATAAAGTATTACAGATTCTTGTTGGATGTATATACAACAAATATATACAACCCTGTGTTGTAAAAATTAAGCAATAGCTCACAAGATGCTGTGATATGGTGTGATTATATCCCAGCTAAGGGGTGTGTTTCGGTCCGACACAACCTGTGGGTCATTGTGATTCTTTGTATGTTCATTGAAGGCCAGTGTTGCATACCTAAGTCCATCTGTGTTGATGGTGAAGGATGTGGGTTTGAGCTGCCGATTGTCCTTATTTCCCCTGCGTCTGAAGTGTAGCTGAATGTCAAACCACACTCTGTTTACTAGCCCCTCCGGAGTGTCAGGATCCAGCACCTTCTTAATCGCTTTGAAATCATCCTCTGATATTGAAACAGAATGAACCGTCATGTGGAGTCCTTTTTTCTAAGGGATTTCACAACGCTGGTAAAATATATTGTTGCCGTTGTAACTGCTGTTATGGTTAAGTCCAGCATACCTTCTCAAGCCATTGAGCTATAGTTTCTGACGGTGGCATAGAAATCTCCTTAAACATGTCAAGTTTCATTGAGATTGGACCATGTACACTGAAGTTGTGAGGACTTGTTCAGGGTCGAACTGTTATAGAATATGTGAAGTTTAGTGGAGTACTATCTGTTTAATGGCCAATTGGCAGAATTTGACACGTTGTCACGGGCATGCGGTTCGACGTACAGTCACAAATAGCACAACTTTTGATCAGCAACATACTACTGACCAATTTTGAAGCAGATCCGATGAATTCCCTAGGAGGAGTTCTTTCAAATACAACGCAAAAAAACGTTGAAAATAACTGCGAAATGGCAGAAATGGAATCAATGTTTGACATTCGATTCAACCTGGCCAAATTTGACGGTACGCCACGGACACACCCTTCAACGTACAGTCTCAAATAGCACAACTTTTAATTAGCACAATTTTTTGACTGTACTGACCAATTTTGAAGTAGGTCCGATAAATTCCCTAGGAGGAGTTCGTTCAAATACAACACGAAAAATCACAGAAAATGACCAAAAAAATCAAAATGGCTGACTTTGATGCCACGCAATGTACATGCACAAATAGCACAACTTTTAATCAGCACCATTTTTTGACTGTACTGACCAATTTTGAAGTAGATCTGATAAATTTGCTAGGAGGAGTTCGTTCAAATACAACGCGAAAAATTCACCGAAAATGCTCACGGAATTCAATATGGCCAACTTTGACGGCACGCCATGGACACGCCCTTCAACGTACATGCACAAATAGCACAAATTTTAATCAGCACTATACTTTGACTGTACAGACCAATTTTGAAGCAGATCCGATGAATTCCCTAGGAGGAGGAGTTCAAATACAATGCGAAAAGTTCGCTGAAAGTGAAAATTAAAATTAAAATGGCCGACTTCCCGTGGGGTTTGGGGTATGGGTCCAAGAGGCTTTTTTGTACATCTCGCGATGTTACACATGCCTACCGAGTTTCATACATATCGGTGAAACGTGGTGTCGGGGCTGTTTTTTTTTTATCCTGTAGAGGGCGCTACAAAGACGAAAAACACAATTTTGTTAAGGCACCAGTCTACACGTGCCCTGTGAATTTCATATTCATAAGAAGGTTCCACATCGCTGTGGAGAACGGTGATGTGCTACGGTAAGCGTACTGACTCATTTCCGGTTTACTTCCTGCTCTGTGTACACTGTTTGGTGCTGTAGCTCTGTCAGTGAACGCTAAATCTAAATTTGTTTTACTCGTTACAGCGGTTATTTTCCAGCGTGATGATTAAACGTAGACTAGTTCTACCTAAGCACTCGGAGTTACTCCTTCTTTTTAGCGACTTTTCGCTATTTTCAAGTTTTCAAGTTTTCACTAATGCTAGCGTCATTAGCATTAGCAGTTAGCTATGGCTTCTCCCTCTTCCTCTCCTCTGTCCTGCTCAGTGTGCCAGATGTTTACTTATTCCTCTGCCTCCTTTAGTGATAATGATACATGTATTAAGTGTAGTTTATTTACTGCGCTGGAGGCAAGGCTTAGTAAGTTAGAGCAACGGTACTGCACCACAGAGATATCTTTAGCTGCTATAGTTGGCCAGTAGCCGGTGCGGTCTGACCGAAGGTAGCTTCTGCTAGCCGTCCCCTGGTAGTTCCCCCGATAGTTCCCGAGCAGCTGGGAAGACAGGGAGGCTGAGTGACTGAACGGAGGAAGAATAAAAACGCAGAAGCCCACAGTTCACCACCAACCCATTCGCGCCAGCCATATATGATTTGAGCGTTTTAATGGACCCTAAACCTAAACTAAATTATAATTCATTTGAAAGCCTTGTTCTTAGTCTTTCTCACCTAAACTGGAAAACACTGCAGCCAGTTCTGTTTGTTATAGTGCACCGCGCTCCTGGACCGCAGTCTGATTTTCTATCTGAATTCTCAGAGTTTTTATCAAGTTTAGTTCTTAAATCAGATAAAGTAATTATTGTAGGTGATTTTAATATTCATGTGGATGTTAACAATGACAGCCTTAGTAACGCATTTATATCATTAATAGACTCAATTGGCTTCTGTCAGAGTTAGTTAGTTAGTTAGTCTTCCCGCATAATCCTGTCCTATCTGACCATTATTTAATAACTTTTGAATTCATACTATTAGATTATAAGCCATCAGGCAAAACTTCCTACAGCAGATGTCTATCTGATAGTGCTATAGCAAAATTTAAGGAGGAGATTCCTTCAGTGTTTAATTCAATGCCATGTCTGAATTTAACAGTCCTATAACAACTTTAGTCCCTCTGAAATTGATAATCTTGTCGATAGTGCTGCAGGCTCACTACGATCAACATTAGACTCTATCACTCCTATAAAAAGGAAATTATTAAAACATAGGAGAATAGCACCGTGGTACAACCACCAAACCCGCCAGTTAAAGCAAATAGCTAGGAAATCTGAAAGGAAATGGCGCTCTTCCAAATTATCAGAATATCGCTCAATTTGGCAAGATAATCTTAAATTTTATAGAAAGGCCCTCCATAATGCCAGAGGAGCCTATTACTCAGCACTAATAGAAGAAAATAAGAATAACCCTAGGTTCCTCTTCAACACTGTAGCCAGGCTGACAGAGAGTCACAACTCTATTGAGCCACATATCCCCATAACCTTAAGTAGCAATGACTTCATGAGCTTCTTTTATAATAAAATTATTACTATTAGAGAGAAAATTAATCACCAACTGCCATCAACAGTTAACAGTGGCTCTCCAAGTTCAGGGACTTTTACTAATGTAAACTCAGATATATATTTGGACTGTTTTTCTGCTATCGATCTTCATCAGTTAACTTCCATAATTTCTTCATCAAAGCCATCTATTATACCCGATCCCAACTAGGCTGCTTAAAGAAGTTGTTCCCTTAATTGGCACTTCTTTACTGGATATGATTAATCTTTCTTTATTATCAGGATATGTACCACAGTCCTTTAAAGTAGCTGTAATTAAACCCCTTCTTAAAAAGCCCACTCTTGACCCAGGGGTTTTAGCCAATTATAGACCAATCTCTAACCCCCCCTTCCTCTCTAAGATTCTGGAGAAAGTAGTCGCCAAAGAGCTGTGACTTTCTACATAACAATAGTTTATTTGAGGATTTTCAGTCAGGATTTAGAGTTCATCATAGCACAGAGACAGCTCTGGTTAAAGTTAATAATGACCTTCTGTTTGCTTCTGACAATGAACTTGTCTCTGTACTTGTATTATTAGATCTTAGTGCTGCATTTGACACCATTGACCAAAATATTCTTTTACAGAGACTTGAGCATCAAATTGGCATTAAAGGAACCGCACTAAGCTGGTTTAAGTCATATTTATCAGATCGTTCGCAGTTTGTACATGTTAACGATGAATCTTCAATAAATACTACACTTAGTCATGGAGTTCCACAAGGTTCTGTACTTGGACCAATACTATTTACTTTAAATATGCTCCCTTTAGGCAACATTATTAGGAATCACTCCATTAACTTTCACTGTTATGCAGATGATACGCAGTTATATCTATCGATCAAGCCCGATGAAATTAATCAATTATCTAAATTACAAACATGCCTTAAGGATATAAAATCCTGTATGAGCTGCAATTTTCTGATGTTAAACTCAGAAAAAAACGAAATTCTTGTTCTTGGCCCCAAAAACCTTAGAGACTCACTGTCTAAAGATATAGTTACTCTAGATGGCATTGCCTTGGCCTCTAGCACCACTGTCAGGAATC